TAGCGTTACGCAGCGACAAGGAGCTCCTAACACCGGGCCCTGAGACAAGAACCAAGGTTTCCTCTACATGTCCAAGGCACGTAGGCATCGCCGCGTGACCTTGATCATGCGAAGCAGATTTCCCCTCGGCGAAAACCCCTTGGACTTGAGCCACCAATGTAGGGGCCTCATGTACAGCAGGCCAAAAGGTATCACGTTGGACACTTGCCATTAACCCCAATAGTTTCTGAAACTGCTTGACAGTGAGTGACTGGCCTTCTCTGACTCTCTTGACTACCGTAATGATCGACTCGACCCAAGCAGGAGACAACCGTGCCCGCATCGTGGTCGAATCCCACACAACGCCCAGATAGGTGGTCCTCTGTAATGGAGCAAGGACACTTTTCTTGGTGTTTAGTCTTAACCCCAACTCCTTCATGTGAGCAAGAACAACATCTCAATGTCGAACCGCCATCTGCTCCGATTGAGCTAAAATCAACCAATCGTCGATATAATTTAGTATGCGGATGCCCTTGAGTCGCAGTGGAGCCAGAGCGGCATCCACACACTTCGTAAAGGTGCGGGGTGAGAGTGCTAGGCCGAAAGGAAGAACTCGGTATTGGTAAGCTTCGCCCCTGAAAGAAAACCTCAGGAACTTCCTCTGAGTGGGAAGGATGGAGACATGAAAGTATGCGTCTTTTAGATCTATCGTAACAAACCAGTCCTCGGATCTGATCTGAGACACAACTTGCTTGATGGTAAGCATTCTGAACTTCAGTTTCATGACTGAGCGATTCAACTGATGCAGATCTAAAATGGGATGCAGCTCCCCATCCTTCTTTGGAACAATGAAGTACCGGCTGTAGAACCCGGCCCCCCTGTCATGAGGAGGGACCACCTCGATGGCCTCCTTCCTCAGGAGAGTATTGACTTCCTGTTCTAATACCAGAGCCTGCTCTGGGCTTTTTGTTGTTCGCGGTATGAGGAGGAGGAGGTATGCGGCAAGAGCTGCTCCTGCCCAGCAGCCCCTGGAGCTAGAGAGCGGCGAGGGAGGAACCACAGGAATACCGCCACCTGTTTACGGGCCTCCTGGTACCTGTCGACGACGGAATTGACGGCCTCGCCAAACAGGCCAGAAGGCGCAAGTGGGGCGTCCATAAGGAAGACCCTGTCCTTTTCATTAATATCTGACAGGGTCAACCACAAATGTCTCTCTGCTGCCACTAGAGCTGGCACGGGCGGTCTCTTTGGTGGCGTGGAGAGATAAATCGGCGGTCCTCCTAAGCTCTGCTATGTCATGCTTTTTTATTTATTCGCCTTCATCTAGCTCCTTAAGCAGGTCGGCTTGGTACGCCTGTAACACCGCCATGGTGTGCAGACACGCACCAGCCTGACCTGCCGCCGTATACCCCTTGCCCACCAGGCTAGATGTTGCACGTAACAGCCTGGAGGGCAATGCCGGAGCCTTTAATGACTATGCCCTAGCTCCTTTAATGACTAGCTCGCGAGCGTCTGTTCCACCCGGGGCATCGTCTTATAACCATGATCACTAACCCCCACCACGTTTGCATAATGAGAGGAAGCAGGGGTAAATAGACGTGCTGAATATGGTCTAACCCACGACCTCGACACCTCAGTGTGGAGATCGGGAAAAAACAGTAGGCTCCGGGGCGGAGGTGGTAGTTTACTCCACAGAAGGCGCTCATCTAATGTGCTTTTCTGCGGTTCAGCTTGTTTCTCGGCCAGCCAATCGATGTTTCATTTAGCTACGGCACGAGTGACCACCTCCAATAACTCTGGGGGCGAATTCTCATCGGCGCTCTCCACATCAACCTCCTCGGAGGAAGATAGCGGAGCGTCGACCCCGTTCCCCGGGGGGAAGAAACCACAGTGCGGGCTTCCGATCCCAGATAGCGGGCACTGAATCTGGCAGGTGAAGAAGGAGATAGGGGCTCGCCCGTCTCCATTCCCTCCGCCAAATCCAATTGCAAACCCCACAAATGCAGCCGCCGCTCAGCCTCGGTTGAAGCGGGACCAGCACCGCGAGGAACGCTGGCGAAGGCTCCATCCTCAAAGAGAGCCTTCCAGGAGCGAAGCGAGCGCAATGACATTCGCTCACAATGCGGGCAATCGGCCCCCTCAAGAGCCGATGCCGCATGCTTCGCCCCCAAGCAAACAACGCACATACTGTGTGTATCCCCACTCGTAATATAGCGAGGGCAGGGAGGAACACACAGCCTGAAACGCTGCTCACTTTCGCCTTTATGTTTTATTTTCTCTGTGGCCTTGGACATTGTGCTTATAACTTTATTTTTTTGACAGACAACACCAAATAAGACTCACAACAGAGATTTAACTGACACAACACAGAGCGCTTCGCTGAATGACAGAAAGCTGAAGCCGGTTCCACCTCACGTGCCTTTATAGCTTCCTGGTCGCTACATCACCTGCCTATGACGTCCTGCCCTTCCATTGGACTGATTACACATGTGATTCAGACGCAGCTCGAGTTCCTGAAGGGGAACTGTAGTGCCCTTCTTTATTGGTATCAAGTATAGTTGAAGGTAGATTCACATTCTTACAAAAATATATTTAACCAGTCTGTTTCTTTCAATGTTTACTCCAAATGGTTTCAACAAACACATCACAGTTGACTTCTTTACATTGCTGGCTTTGCGGTGAAATAACTTCAGTTAATTTTGTCTGGCTTTGCCAGATGTGGTTTGTGTTCGGGGCACAGTGTTTTTAAATGGTTTGCAAATGTTTGTGGGTTAACTGGGAGAAAAAGAATATGAAATATAGCACTGTTTTCTGATAAGTATGGGTTTGTGGCTTACTTGGCTCATTCTTATGTAGTTCAAGACATTTATAGACATTCAACTATTGTGAGGAGATTCGAGGAAGATTTATAACTAGAAATACTGCAGTTTGATCTCGTCCATTTTGTTTTCCCGGAGTCAGTCAGAGTGTGTCTCTTTGGGTTGCTATATGTTTCTCCCTTCTATGGCTTAAAGGCCTCATTGTGTTTTAATAATGATTTCTGTTTGAGAGCAGCCTTTGTTCTCTTCAGAGAGTGCAGGTGTTGAGGTGAAAGTCACAAGTTATTCTAGAAGTATTCATCTGTGTATGTGGTTGTTGTAGTTCAGAAGAATGATGTGTGTTTAGCTGTGTGACTGAGCAGAACAGAGCATCAGTTGTCTCATTACATTTGCTTGGAGTAAAATAGAGTGCATAGTAGGTTTTAATTTGTTATATGGGCCAGTGACCATCAGTCTCTGAGTGCCTTGAATCTTTTAAATTAATTTGCTTTAAGTCACCTTGGACAATATTTCAGGAGAATGCAGGTAGTCCATCCTGTCCCAGACAGCAGTGAAAGTAGGTTACATTTTATGACACACAAGTGAGTGGAAGAGAGGAGATTAATAAGGCACAATGCTTTGGGGAAAAAAA